GGCAACTACACCTGCCATTACCAACTGTGCAGTGAAAGCGTAAAATACTGTCACTTTCTGGTGGTTGCTTGTAGGGTTGGACGGTATCCAGATTTTCATATCGTTCTTCTTATCCCGGGATTTACGGTATTACCGGCTTAGTACACAAGGGGCACCAAAAAAAAGCCCATTGGGCGTCTATTACCATAATGTTAACAAAATTAGCACAAGTAATAGCATATTTCCATGGAGGCTGCTAGCAAAATATGCTAACGAGTGCAAACGGGGGGGGGGGGAAAATGGCAGTCCAGCTCATAAAGTTGTAACATTTTTGACATGCGTTTTTCTGGATTTTTTTTTGTTATTCTGTCTCTCACTGTTCAAATAAACCTACCATTAAAATTATAGACTGATCATTTCTTGTCAGTGGGCAAACGTATAAAATCAGCAGGGGATCAAATACTTTTTTCCCTCACTGTAACAGATTCACTACAAAAGGACGTTTGTTCTGAAGTGTCTGTCCTATATCTGAGAGATATAAGAAAGATCAGGATATTTTTTTGGGACATGTATTTAACCTCTTTTTGGCACTAAACCGTCTCCATATAGAGCAAAACAACAGTGTTGTGAGAGTCTCACCCTTCCACAGAGGGGCCATATTAGTGTGTAGCCCAAACTGTTCGGACGCTACAGACAGAAGTTGGCAGATCGGCTGTACCAACTTCAGACGAGTCCCAAGACTCTTGTGGGGGTCGTAGAGCAAAACGGAGACCACCGTGTTCATGAGTGTCTCATCTTTCAATAGAGTGGTCAAAATAGTTTGTAGGCCAAACCGTTTGGATGCTACAGACGATTTTGTGAGAAGACCGATTTTCGGGGTGTCTCATGGTCTGACAAACACCGCTCTCTCTTTCACCGCAGATGCGGAAGTGCGACGTATGCGGATACGGTGGATTGAGACTCATCCATAGCAAAAAAAACATCTCTAGTTTAAACAGACTTTTTATTTTATTTTTTATGGGGATTATTATTATTAGGCGGACATCGACCTTAGGGGGTTCAGAAAAACATTAGGAAATGTAGCTGGCTACATTCTTTCTATAATTAACATAAATATGTTGGCCATGCATAGTTTTTGCAAAAAAATCCTAGTTTTTTTCATCGTAAGCTCATTTAACCTACTTGTGTGGCTGCCAGTCAAATAGCGTTGCACTTCTGTTGTCGTCTGAAAATGAAGCTATTTTCTGTGAAGGAAAACCTATAGCACTTGAAAAAATATTTACAAACAAACACGTGACTGGCTTGACTGTTCTGGGGAACTACGGTAAGCGTCATAGGACCGGCGAAATGAAGAACGCAATCTTCTCTAGGTATTTACTTAAATAGTTACAAATATAAAAAATATATAGAAAAACTTCCAAGAAATAGTTTTTAAATGGTATTGATAAACCATCCTGTGCCCAGTTCCAATACCCCAGTGTACTGCCAAGCCTGGTTGTTTGGGTGCATAGGGAGGTCGTTGGTAGGGCTGGGCAATATGGACAAAATATCATATCACGATATCTTTCATATTTGACGGTTTTTGAATAATGAAAGTTCTAAATGGGTTCATGAGATACTCAGAAATGATATGGTGGCAACACCTAAATTAGAAGTTATTTCAATGGGGCTTTCTCCATTTATACTGTTCAATCCAACTCTAAACTAAAATAATTTTCAGCATTTTCATCCATTTCTCAATTTCTTGCACTTTTATTATAATTTCCACACTGCCAGGCAGCATGATATGGGCAAAAAATCTAGGCCTAGTTAATTGGTGAACTGTTGGAAATAATTTATTTATTCTAAAGTTGGAATATAGTGGGCAGCACCCTGAATACGTTGTTGTTGGACATGACAACGAATGAGTAAGCCAGTGAGGAAATATTGACAGGGTAGGAAGACAAATTGCTGGTCAGTGTTTCCAGGTGACCCTAATTAGACGTTACATTACACTTTCTTACTTCATGTAGCTAGCTAGCTAACCAAAATATTAATTATTTGCCTATTTTGGTATTTCTTTAATCAGGATCCCCATTAGCTGTTGCAAAAGCAGCAGCTACTCTCCCTGGGGTCCACACAAAAAATAGATATATTGTAAAGTGGTTGTCCCACTGGCTATCATAAGGTGAATGCACCAATTTGTAAGTCGCTCTGGATAAGAGCGTCTGCTAAATGACAAATTTGAAACATGACATTACATAACATGAATAGATTAGCATTAGCAGCTAACACCTTATTATTTTAGCAATGCCTTGCTAAGAAAATAAACTAGCAAACAGTAGTTTGCAAGACAGTTTTATATATATATATATATTATATATATATATATAATATATATATATATATATATATATTATAGATATAGAACGCTTGCGAAAAGCAGCATGTCTCCAACATTGATGCATCCATCTGACCATGCAGAGTGAACGTCAAGAAAGTGCTTGTGACTCCGTGGTCGAGCAACTGCTCTTTCCTTGAGTGACGGGGCAGGGCTTGGTGTGGTTAGCGGCATGCTGCAGGAGGAGGGAGAGCGATGACCTTGAGTGACGGGGCAGGGCTTGGTGTGGTTAGCGGCATGCTGCAGGAGGAGGGAGAGCGATGACCTTGAGTGACGGGGCAGGGCTTGGTGTGGTTAGCGGCATGCTGCAGGAGGAGGGAGAGCGATGACCTTGAGTGACGGGGCAGGGCTTGGTGTGGTTAGCGGCATGCTGCAGGAGGAGGGAGAGCGATGACCTTGAGTGACGGGGCAGGGCTTGGTGTGGTTAGCGGCATGCTGCAGGAGGAGGGAGAGCGATGACTCAAGTAGGAAACGGAGTAAACTATGAAAAAGGACATAAGTGCCAGAGTTGCGTATCACATTTAACAAACCTCGGTCCATGCATCAATACGTGTGTGTGTATATAGTCAAATACGGTATACCGCCCAGCCCTTGTCAGTGGCTAACATTTTGTGGTGCAGAGGGAAAGCCAATGTTAGTCAAGTGTTAGGGTTGGGGACATGGCAGGGCCCAGCTCTCTCGCTGTCTCTCTGTGTTTTAAATGGCGGTGTCCCAAATGGCATCCTATTCCCTTTATAGTGCACAACCCATAAGGTCCTTGTCAAAAGTAGTGCACTATATAGGGAATAGGGTGCCATTTGGGACACATGCTGACTGTCTAAGCACATGTTTGTTGTGAGGCGGTAGGGAAGGTGTACAAATCCCCCATTATCTGTGAAGGTTGCTGCCGACGACACGTGGAGAAAATTGATCTTCTCTCCTGATTCCCATCCTCCCTCCAGGGGTGTCCCAAATGTCACCCTATTCCCTACATAGTGCACTACTTTTGACCAGAGTCCTATGGGCCCTAGTCAAAAGTAGTGCACTATGTAGGAAATGGGGTGTCATTTGGAGCTCAGGAATGATGTCTATATAATTCAGTAAGTCTTGACCCAGCATGTTCATTTGAGGGGATCTACAAGCGTCTCTTCACTATAACTGTCAGGCTGGATTATGAGGTTTTTATTTTTCCTCGTAAAATGGTCAGTGGTGCTAAATCATGCCTTGAGCCTGTGAGGAGAGGGACCTCTGCTTCACTAGGCTGCTACTAACACACACACACACACTCTGTGCTGTGGCTGCTGAGGATACAGGAGTGCCTCTCTCAATGTTTGTGATGAAGATGCCACGCAGAGGAAATGGTGGCCGGTCCAGCCCTGTTCCTGGGTTGGCTGCTCGGCTGAAGTGTGTGTGTGTGTGTTTTTTAAGCGAGTGACTTCTCAGAACAAGCAGCAGTTAAGCTGTACTCTCCCCTCTGGCTGTCCATATCTATAGCAGTATTATGTCATCTCACTGAACAGTTGGTAGGGCAGGTGTAGTTGCCTGTACGTCAGCGCTGTGAGGGGCAGGTGTAAGTTGCCTGTACGTCAGCGCTGTGAGGGGCAGGTGTAAGTTGCCTGTAAGTCTCTGTGCGTCTCACTCAGGTTGTCGTCAGCCCATGCCGAGCTGATAATCGGGTATTAGAGAGCCAGCATGAACGGCAGCTTGTGGTTGGTATCACCTTCACTCAAGCCTTCCACTGGGTTATCTCTGTGCCTCAGCATCTTTCACTGAGTCATCTGGGTTCAGGTCAGTGCTCCCTCTGGACCCAGATTAAACTGCCTTTGTATTTCCTCCCTCCTTTGGGCTGAACATTGGCTTCACCATGTGGTACTACTGACCTCCGCAGGGAGCAGGCAACTGGGTAGCTGTTAACTATGCCACACGTGTAGTCTTAGAGCCAGCATTTGTGCTGTCATGCCAACTCCCTGTCACTCATTGCCATGTCAAACACGTTTGACTTGACAATGACAGCAATGGAGTAGACAAGGGCACAAACAGATGTAGGACCAGGCTACCTGTCACACGTGATCTCTAGGCAGGACTTTGTCTTCGGCTGTTAGCAGCTTGCCCTTAAGAGGAAGTGGAGTGGTGTTCAGTTCACACAGGAAGCTGGCTGTAGAGTGCTCATTGTTGTGAACCGGTGTTATGTGAATGCCACCACAACCTGTTTTTGTGTTCCACCCACAACAAATTGAGGCAACTAATCGAATAATTCATCAGAAGTAAAGTTGCTACATCCTGTTTTTTTTGTTGCACGAAACCCCTTTTTTTTTTTTTTTTTTTTTTTTTTGAGTGTTTTTTGTGTGAGACAGACAGGCAGGCAGGCAGGCAGGCAGATTATGGTGTTTTTAATTAGATGGAAGGAGTCCATCACATTTATGGATGTGACGACAAATATCTAACTAGTTGTGATAGGATGTGTCCCATATGGTACCCTATATAGTACACTACTTTTGACCAGGGCCCAAAGTAGTGCATAGGGTGCCATTTGGGACATAGATATGGAATTCGTCACATTAATATTAACTCTCCTCCTGTCTGTTTTCTCCCTCAGGGGCTGCTGAGCAAATATTTGATTGAAAATGCCCCTAATGCGGAGAGCAAAGTGTTCTATTTGAAGATGAAGGGAGACTACTACAGATACCTGGCTGAGGTGGCCTCCGGAGACGACAAGAAGGGTAAGTGGGTCTCTGCACTGATAAGTCTGTCTACTTTGGCCCATGACCCAAATGGCCCCATATCCCCTATAAGGTACACTAATTTTGACCAGTCCTATGGGCCCTGGTCAAAAGTAGTGCAGTATATTGGGAATAGGGTGTCATTTGGGACTCAGATCCAGTCGCTCAGGACATCTTGGGCTGCTGTCCCTCCCCTCAACTGGCCTCGCTGGCCCTCTCTCCCCTTTAACTTGAGTCAGGCATTCAGTGGATAAAAGACTCAATAGTAGTAGAAAGGTTTACAGGGGCTTTTGAGGTTGTAGTCTGACCATGAAAGGAAATTAAATGATGGTCATGTTGCAGAGCAGACAATATGTGAGGACCGCAGATACAGTATCTTGTCTGAGTTTCAAATGGCACCCTATCCCCTATATAGCAGGGTCGACATTAACACTTGTCCTCTGGTCCGGGACAAGTGGAAAAAAAAGAGGGAAAAAAGACACAAATATTATAGAGATAGATATAATATTTGGAGAGGGAGAGATCTCGCACACAATTCACTATCTAACAACTACTCCGATCAGAGAGTCCAACATTGGAATAATGTTCATGTACATAAATAAAAAAGCCTACATGTCAAAGTGTATGTGATATGCATATTGACTACAACCTCATGTCCAAACCGACGCTGACATGAGGGAGGTGGCAGAAAATGTAGCCAAACTTTAATGACACTTTCAGTTACATAAATATAGACCAAACGCCAGTGATGTTTGACAAATATAATTAAGGATATTTAACGTCTAAAGGCTTGATTCTTTCGACATACTCGAGGCACGGTTTGTTCAGATCAAATGGTCACAAGACCAGAGTGAAGGAAGGTGCCTGTTGAGCACCACACATCACCCACCTTGAATCTGAGCGGAGGTGCTCAGCATTTTGAAACTGTTTAGCATTAACTTAATTGTTTAAAACCTGGACGTTTTTATATCATTTTATGAAGCAAAGTAGCCTAGCCAATATACGACCACAGAAATGTTGAGGGAATTGTTTTATAAACACTTAATATGCCATTGAAATCCGCATTAGTCTCATGTTATTGGTTTTCAAATCAACTTATTTTTTTTGTGCAGCCAAAGGCATAATACTAGACATATAAGTAAACTATGCTAATTGATGCATCTTTAGATCTCCCGTCTTAACTCCTAACTGATATTTTCATCTGTCACATGAAACCGCTCACGCGTGCGGTGTGCTTTTGAGAAGTGTTTTCCCGCTAATTGCATTTTGGAACATTCCTGTGTAGCCTACAGCCATGTGCGCATTGTTGAGCTTATATGAAGAAATTAAACTTGATCAACATTTAAGCTAAACGGTCTGATCGGTTGCATCAGCCTCATTTGCTTTTTTATTGATGTATTATTTAATGTGTAGTGGTTGTATGGGATTTTAGATCTGTCATCCCAGAACTGTCCCAGTCTGTTTTGAACCGTAGACATATTTTTTTATCAAAATAGTTACAATTTCGTATTAACACTGGAATGATAGATGTGCAAATAGAGATACTGGGGTGCAAATTAGCAAAATAAATAACAATATGGGGATGAGGTAGTTGGGTGGGCTAATTTCAGAATGGCTGTGTACAGGTGCAGTGATCGGTAAGCTGCTCCGACAACTGACGCTTAAAGTTAGTGAGGGAGATAAGTGTCTCCAGCTTCAGAGATTTTTGCAGTTCGTTCCAGTCATTGGCAGCAGAGAACTGGAAGGAATGGCGGCCAAAGGAGGTGTTGGCTTTGGGGATGACCAGTGAGATATACCTGCTGGAGCGCAGACTACGGGTGGGTGTTGCTATGGTGACCAGTGAGCTAAGGTAAGACAGGGATTTGCCTAGCAGTGATTTATAGATTACCTGGAGCCAGTAGGTTTGGCGACGAATATGTAGTGAGGGCCAGCCAACAAGAGTGTACAGGTCACAATGGTGGGTAGTACAGTGGGGAAAAAAAGTATTTAGTCAGCCACCAATTGTGCAAGTTCTCCCACTTAAAAAGATGAGAGGCCTGTAATTTTCATCATAGGTACACGTCAACTATGACAGACAAATTGAGGGGAAAAAATCCAGAAAATCACATTGTAGGATTTTTTATGAATTTATTTGCAAATTATGGTGGAAAATAAGTATTTGGTCACCTATAAACAAGCAAGATTTCTGGCTGTAACTTCTTCTTTAAGAGGCTCCTCTGTCCTCCACTCGTTACCTGTATTAATGGCACCTATTTGAACTTGTTATCAGTATAAAAGACACCTGTTCACAACCTCAAACAGTCACACTCCAAACTCCACTATGGCCAAGACCAAAGAGCTGTCAAAGGACACCAGAAACAAAATTGTAGACCTGCACCAGGCTGGGAAGACTGAATCTGCAATAGGTAAGCAGCTTGGTTTGAAGAAATCAACTGTGGGAGCAATTATTAGGAAATGGAAGACATACAAGACCACTGATAATCTCCCTCGATCTGGGGCTCCACGCAAGATCTCACCCCGTGGGGTCAAAATGATCACAAGAACGGTGAGCAAAAATCCCAGAACCACACGGGGGGACCTAGTGAATGACCTGCAGAGAGCTGGGACCAAAGTAACAAAGCCTACCATCAGTAACACACTATGCCGCCAAGGACTCAAATCCTGCAGTGCCAGACGTGTCCCCCTGCTTAAGCAGTACATGTCCAGGCCCGTCTGAAGTTTGCTAGAGTGCATTTGGATGATCCAGAAGAGGATTGGGAGAATGTCATATGGTCAGATGAAACCAAAATAGAACTTTTTGGTAAAAACTCAACTCGTCGTGTTTGGAGGACAAAGAATGCTGGGTTGCATCCAAAGAACACCATACCTACTGTGAAGCATGGGGGTGGAAACATCATGCTTTGGGGCTGTTTTTCTGCAAAGGGACCAGGACGACTGATCCGTGTAAAGGAAAGAATGAATGGGGCCATGTATCGTGAGATTTTGAGTGAAAACCTCCTTCCATCAGCAAGGGCATTGAAGATGAAACGTGGCTGGGTCTTTCAGCATGACAATGATCCCAAACACACCGCCCGGGCAACGAAGGAGTGGCTTCGTAAGAAGCATTTCAAGGTCCTGGAGTGGCCTAGCCAGTCTCCAGATCTCAACCCCATAGAAAATCTTTGGAGGGAGTTGAAAGTCTGTGTTGCCCAGCGACAGCCCCAAAACATCACTGCTCTAGAGGAGATCTGCATGGAGGAATGGGCCAAAATACCAGCAACCGTGTGTGAAAACCTTGTGAAGACTTACAGAAACGTTTGACCTGTGTCATTGCCAACAAAGGGTATACAGTGATCCCTCGCCACTTCGCGGTTCACTTATCGCGGATTCGCTATTTCGCGGATTTTCATAATGCATTTTTTTTTTTTGGTGCATTGTGCTCTGCATTCTGATTCGCTAAAAACTCACTCCCGCTTCTTGTATCAAAACATGCTACGAATTGTGCTATCATTTTGTCGTCTCGTGCAGTTATGTGTACGTACATAAAACAGCTTGGCAAATTTACATTAAGTTGGCCAAATTATCTTGTAATTTCGAACATCTCCTAAACCCATAATGTCGACGAAACGGCCTGGACCGACAAAAGCACCTGCGGATGGGCCCAAACGGCGGAAGATGCTACCTATCTCAGATAAAGTTAAACTTCTGGACATGCTAAGGGAAGGTAAAAGCTATGCAGCCGTTGCTCGCCATTACGGAATCAATGAATCGAGAGATGAGGAGGAAGGACTAACGCTTGGTCGCTTAGCAACCATGGTGCGAATGGCCACTGAACTTAAGCGAGTAGCTGAGGAATGGGACCCTTTGATGAGCCGTTCATTACAGTTCTCCAACGTAATCGATGGTGGCATGTCGGTGTACAAGGATCTTTTTGCAAAGAAGAAAAAAGAGCGACAACAGCTGCCTATCACTATGTTCTTCTCCCGAACAAACACACCTGCACCGCGGGCTTCAGAAGAAGAGAACACTGCAGAGCGCAGTCAGGATGCAGCGGCCCAGTCTGAAGAGCAGTGAAACGGCCTACACGTGAGTCACTGTATTTGTATACATGTAATAGTTGCTAATTGTAAAAAAAAAAAGTTTTCTATTTCGCGGATTTCACTTATCGCGGGTCATTTTCGGAACGTAACCCCCGCGATAAACGAGGGATTACTGTATAACAAAGTATTGAGAAACTTTTGTTATTGACCAAATACTTATTTTCCACCATAATTTGCAAATAAATTCATAAAAAATCCTACAATGTGATTTTCTGGAGAAAAAAAAATCTCATTTGTCTGTCATAGTTGACGTGTACCTATGATGAAAATTACAGGCCTCATCTTTTTAAGTGGGAGAACTTGCACAATTGGTGGCTGACTAAATACTTTTTTTCCCCCACTGTATATGGGGCTTTGGTGACAAAACGGATGGCACTGTGATAGACTACAGCCAATTTGCTGAGTAGAGTGTTGGAGGCTATTTTGTAAATGACATCGCCGAAGTCAAGGATCGGTAGGATAGTCAGTTTTACGAGGGCATGTTTGGCAGCATGAGTGAAGGAGGCTTTGTTGCGAAATAGGAAGCTGATTCTAGATCTAACTTTTGATTGGAGATGCTTAATGTGAGTCTGGAAGTAGGCTACTGTAGCTATTTGATCATAATGTAGGCCTACCAGAGTGGCCTACCATCTAAAACAATGGAGAAAATGTATCCCATAACATTTTAACGGAAATAGCTGTTCTATCATTAAGCCTACAGTAGCAGCCAATGTGTGGTGTTTTTTGGGAAAGAAAACATGTAGGGTTTATAATAATAATAATAATAATATGCCATTTAGTAGACGCTTTTATCCAAAGCGACTTACAGTCATGCGTGCATACATTTTTGTGTATGGGTGGTCCCGGGGATCGAACCCACTACCTTGGCGTTACAAGCGCCATGCTCTACCAGCTGAGCTACAGAGGACGGTTTGACATTAACCTGTTTATCCACTTGTCCTTCAGACAAGGAGGTGACTGAAAATGTTGTTTGATGCAAGAAACCACTTTACAAAATAGAATTCATTATTCCCTTACCATTATTACAGAGAATCAGACAACTTATGCTACCCTCTGCGAATTGGCTACTTAGCTTATTCAAGCCTGTCTCAAAATAAAACACTGCCCCTTTAAGACAGAAAAAAAGCTCTTTACCTGACTTGCTTTTCAAAGATGGCTAGAAATGCACGTTTTGTGCACTTGTAGGAAGCAACCCCTCTGCCATTGCTGACTAGAAATGAGCTGTAACTGGGCTAATAACTCACTAACAGAATATGAACAAATGTGCACACGTGGATACATGCAGATCTTGCTTTGATCTCAAAACAAGCCATCTAACAAATGTTCTGTGTGTCTCTGTTGGAGCTCCATTCAGACCTCTCGCTCCAGGGGATGCAAGCTTGTTGGTTTAATGCAGGCTGAGTGAGTTTGGGCTGTGAACGTGGTGATGGGTGTACGAATGTTCCCTCCCTGCTGCTTCGGGGTTCTTTCCCCCTCTCCCTCTCTCATCCCTCCCCCATGTCTCCCTCTCTCTCATCCATGCTGTCCTTCTCCTCTATCCTTCCCATACTGCTCTCCCCTCCTTGCCTTCCCTCCCTCTTTGTCTCCCTCCCTCCCCCAGTGAGTCAGCCCTCTCTGCCTGCCTGGGCTATGTCTGCCTCCCCCTTCCTCCCTGCCAGCCTCAGCCACTGAACACGAGACTACACAGAATTACTGTCATGGTTTTCCCCTTACAGCATCGCCGCCCCTTCTGAAGACTGAGGTGGTTTTGAACAGGGGAGGGAGGATGTGTGTCTGGCACATGCTTCAAATGAACAGTTGAAACGTAGGCCTAGTTAGTTAGTAGCCTAAAGCTTGCTGGCTTATTTTGGCGGCCAGGCACTTTGCATCTTGGCCCACATGTATCATACCCAGGGATTATTTGTTACATTGTTGTTCATAGAAAATGCTGTGGCACTATTCAAATCAAATTTTATTTGTCACATGCTTCGTAAACAACAGGTGTAGACTAACAGTGAAATGCTTATTTACGGGCCCTTCCCAACAATGCAGAGAGAAAGAAAATGGAGAAATAATAGAAAAGTAATAATAATAATAATAAATACACATGAGTAACGATAACTTGGTACTGCTACCCCGTGTATATAGCCGAGTCGATGTGCAGGGGTACGAGGTAATTGAGGTAGATGTGTACATATAACTAGGAATAAAGTGACGGATAATAAACTAGCAGCAGCATATACACTGCTCAAAAAAATTTAAGGGAACACTTAAACAACACAATGTAACTCCAAGTCAATCACACTTCTGTGAAATCAAACTGTCCACTTAGGAAGCAACACTGATTGACAATACATTTCACATGCTGTTGTGCAAATGGAATAGACAACGGGTGGAAAGTATAGGCAATTAGCAAGACACCCCCAATAAAGAAGTGGTTCTGCAGGTGGTGACCACAGACCACTTCTCAGTTCCTATGCTTCCTGGCTGATGTTTTGGTCACTTTTGAATGCTGGCGGTGCTTTCACTCTAGTGGTAGCATGAGACGGAGTCTACAACCCACACAAGTGGCTCAGGTAGTGCAGCTCATCCAGGATGGCACATCAATGCGAGCTGTGGCAAGAAGGTTTGCTGTGTCTGTCAGCGTAGTGTCCAGAGCATGGAGGCGCTACCAGGAGACAGGCCAGTACATCAGGAGATGTGGAGGAGGCCGTAGGAGGGCAACAACCCAGCAGCAGGACCGCTACCTCCACCTTTGTGCAAGGAGGAGCAGGAGGAGCACTGCCAGAGCCCTGCAAAATGACCTCCAGCAGGCCACAAATGTGCATGTGTCTGCTCAAACGGTCAGAAACAGACTCCATGAGGGTGGTATGAGGGCCCGACGTCCACAGGTGGGGGGTTGTGCTTACAGCCCAACACCGTGCAGGACGTTTGGCATTTGCCAGAGAACACCAAGATTGGCAAATTCGCCACTGGCGCCCTGTGCTCTTCACAGATGAAAGCAGGTTCACACTGAGCACATGTGACAGACATGACAGAGTCTGGAGACGCCGTGGAGAACGTTCTGCTGCCCGCAACATCCTCCAGCATGACCGGTTTGGCGGTGGGTCAGTCATGGTGTGGGGTGGCATTTCTTTGGGGGTCCGCACAGCCCTCCATGTGCTCGCCAGAGGTAGCCTGACTGCCATTAGGTACCGAGATGAGATCCTCAGACCCCTTGTGAGACAATATGCTGGTGCGGTTGGCCCTGGGTTCCTCCTAATGCAAGACAATGCTAGACCTCATGTGGCTGGAGTGTGTCAGCAGTTCCTGTAAGAGGAAGGCATTGATGCTATGGACTCGCCCGTTCCCCAGACCTGAATCCAATTGAACACATCTGGGACATCATGTCTCGCTCCATCCACCAACGCCACGTTGCACCACAGACTGTCCAGGAGTTGGCGGATGCTTTAGTCCAGGTCTGGGAGGAGATCCCTCAGGAGACCATCCGCCACCTCATCAGGAGCATGCCCAGGCGTTGTAGGGAGGTCATACTGGCACGTGGATGCCACACACACTACTGAGCCTCATTTTGACTTGTTTTAAGGACATTACATCAAAGTTGGATCAGCCTGTAGTGTGGTTTTCCACTTTAATTTTGAAGGTGACTCCAAATCCAGACCTCCATGGGTTGATAAATTTGATTTCCATTGATCGATTTTGTTGTTAGCACATTCAACTATGTAAAGAAAAAAGTATTTAATAAGATTATTTCATTCATTCAGATCTAGGATGTGTAATTTTAGTGTTCCCTTAATTTTTTTGAGCAGTGTATGTTGAGTCAAAAAAGTTAGTGCAAAAAGGGTCAATGCCGATAACCAAATAACTACCTGGACTATCTAACTATTTAGCAGTCTTATGGCTTGGGGGTAGAAGCTGTTCAGGGTCCTGTTGGTTCCAGACTTGGTGCCGTGCGGTAGCAGAGAGAATAGTCTATGACTTGGGTGGCTGGAGTCTGACCATTTTTTTCCCCCATGGCCTTCCTCTGACACTGCCTGGTATAAAGGTCCTGGATGGCAGGGAGCTCGGCCCCACTAATGTTCTGGGCCGTACGCACTACCCTCTGAAGTGCCTTGTGGTCGGATGCCAAGCAGTTGACATACCAAGCGGTGACGCAGCCAGTCAAGATGCTCTCAATGGTGCAGCTGTATAACTTTTTGAGGATTTGAGGGCCCATGCCAAATCTTTTCAGCCTACTGAAGTGTTGTCGTGCCCTCTTCACGACTGTCTTGGTGTGTGTGTGGACCATGATCGATCCTTAGTGATGTGGACACCGAGGAACTTGAAGCTCTCGACCTGCTCCGTCGATGTAAATGGGGGCGTGCTCAACCCTCCGTTTCCTGTAGTCCACGATCCGCTCTTTGTCTTGCTGACGTTTAGGGAGGGGTTGTTGTCCTGGCACCACACTGCCAGGTCTCTGACCTCCCTATAGGCTGTCTCGTCGTCGTCGTCGGTGATCAGGCCTACCACCGTCCTGTTGTCTGCAAACTTAATGATGCTTAATGTAGCTCCGGTGCTCAACAAAGGATATTTATAAGCCCATTACATCATGTAGCCTAGCTTTCAGGAACACTTCCAGATAGGCTGACGGTGGCCAGACCAGGGAAAGGAAAGTGACCCCATTTGCAGCAGTGATTGGATAGGCTTACCTAGAGGCATAATATGACGTTTTATATTTAAATGTACAAAGGTTGTAGAATGAAACGGAAACTGGTTCCGTCCCAAATGGCACCCTAGTCCCTATATAGTGCACTACTTATGACCCTATGGGCCTTGGTGAAAAGTAGTGCATTATATAAGGAATACGGTGCCATTTGAGTCGTAGACCATGTTTTAGTTGGAGCTCTATCTTAATGGTTCCTCCCTCTCCACAGAGACGATATCCAACTCTCAAGACTCCTACCAGGAGGCGTTTGACATCAGCAAGAAGGAGATGCAGCCCACACATCCTATCCGCCTGGGCCTGGCCCTCAACTTCTCTGTTTTCTTCTACGAGATCCTCAACTCTCCAGAGAAGGCCTGCTCACTGGCCAAACAGGTAGGGATGATGACACAACACAGCAGCCCACACAAATGGCACCCTTTTCCCTATATAGTGCTTTCTTTTGACCAGGGCCCATGGGGCTTTGGTCAAAAGTAGTGTACTATATGGGGTGCACTATATACAGTGAGGATACAAAACATTAAGAACACCTTCTCTTTCCATGACATAGACTGACCCAGGTGAATCGAGGTGAAAGCTATGATCCCTTATTGATGTCACTTGTTAAATCCACTTCAATCAGTGTAGATGAAGGGGAGGAGACAGGTTAAATAATTATTTTTAAGCCTTGAGACATGGCTTGTGTATGTGTGCCATTCAGAGGGTGAATTATCAAGACAAACGCTTTAGGTGCCTTTGAACGGGGTATGGTAGTAGGTGCCAGGCGCACCAGTTTGAGTGTGTCAAGAACTGCAACACAGCTGGGTTTTTCACGCTCAACAGTTTCCTGTGTGAATCAAAAATGGCCCACCACCCAATGGACATCCAGCCAACTTGACACAACTGTGGGAAGCATTGGAGTCAACATGGGTCATCCCTGTGGAATGCTTTTGACACCTTTGTAGAGTCCATGCCCTGACAAATTGCAGCTGTTCTGAGGTCAAAAGGGGAGTGGGGTGCAACCCAATATTAGAAAGCTGTTCTTAATGTTTGGTGTACTCAGTGTACACACAGAGCTGCATTATGTGCCAACTCTCTCCTCTCCATCTCTCTATCTTCGCCTCATCTCCCTGTTCATAAGCATATCAACCATTGTTATTTGTGTGTTCGCAGGCCTTCGATGATGCCATCGCCGAGCTCGACACGCTGAGCGAAGACTCGTACAAAGACAGCACCCTCATCATGCAGTTGCTTAGAGACAACCTCACTGTAAGTATCCAGTGACCTCCCCCCACCGAGCCACAGGATTGGTCGCTTCATCAACACATCCCACACACACCATACACCCACAGGCATGGTGACTGCAACCCCGTCTAGTGTATGTGCATCTCATTTCAGTGTTTTAATGACTACCAGGAGCCAGTGCCATTTTGTGAATTATAATTTCAAATCCTTATCATAGCTTATTTGACCCAAGTGGAGCATAGGTATAATATATACAGTGCATTCGGAAAGTATTCAGACACCTTCAGCCTTATTCTAAAATTGATTACATTCATTTTTTCCCTCATCAATCTATAGACAATACCGCATAATGACAAATCGAAGACAGGTTTTTGCATATTTATTAAAAATAAAAACAGAAATACCTTATATACATATAGACCCTTTGCTATTAGACTTGAAATTGAGCTCAGGTGCATCCTGTTTCCATTGATCATCTTAGAGATGTTTCTAAAACTTGATTGGAATGCACCTGTGGTAAATTCAATTGATTTGGAAAGGCACACACCTGTCTATATAAGGCTGGCCGCCCGGCCAAACTGAGCAATCTGGGAGAAGGGCCTTGGTCAGGGAGGTGACCAAGAACACGATGGTGTCACTGACAGAGTTCCTCTGTAGAGATGGGAGAACCTTCCAGAAGGACAACCATCTCTGCAGCACTCTACCAATCAGGCCTTTAAGGTAGAGAAGCCAGATGGAAACCCCTCCTCAGTAAAAGGTACATGACCGCCCGCTTGGAGTTTGCCAAAAGGTACCTAAAGGACTCTCAGACCATGTGAAACAAGATTATTTGGTCTGATTGAACTCTTTGGCCTGAATGCCAAGCGTCATGTCTGGAGGAAACCTGGCACCATCCCTACGGTGAAGCATGGTGGTGGCAGCATCATGCTGTGGAGACGTTTTTCAGGGACTGGGAGACAAATCAGGATCGAGGGAAAGGTGAACAGAGCAAAGTACATAGATATCCTTGATGAAAACCTGCTCCAGAGTGCTCAGAACCTCAGACTGGGGCGAAGGTTCCCCTTCCAACAGGACAACGACCCTAAGCACACAGCTAAGACAATGCAGGAGTGGCTTCGGGACAAGTCCCTGAATGTCCTTGAGTGGCCCAGCTAGAGCCCGGACTTGAACCTGATCTAACATCTCTGGAGAGACCTGAAAATAGCTGTGCAGCGACGCTCCCCATCCAACCTGACAGAGCTTGAGAGGATCTGCAGAGAAGAATGGGAGAAACTCTCCAAATACAGGTGTTTTTTGGATAACTGAAATGCTTATTGTCAGTTTAATGGTGTTTTGTCTTGTGTGTTTCAGCTATGGACATCTGACAACGCAGCAGATGAGCCAGAGGCTGGAGATGGAGGAGAGAACTGAGCTGCTCCCCGTCCATCCTCGCCAAGAAATAAAAATAAAAGTTGAGGCGATAAGTCATTTTCCTTCATTCCTTATTGTTCCACTTGAAATTATTCTAGTAAAGAATGCCCGTCGTACAATTGAGCTGCAACGTGTGGGACATTTAAAATCCTTTTAGTTTTCACCACAGCTCTGCTTTTTGGTATGAAGAAAAACTAAATTAAGTAAATAATATTATTGCCATTCCTGAGTTTGTTTGTCCCGGCCTTTCTGATGTGCAGTTTCTGCTGTAGAAAACTATTAGCTTCACTTTAACATGAACTGTCTGTTCAACATGACAATATAGGCTATGTGTGCGTGTGTCCCCAGAAAGGTCAGTTTTCTGAATTTTGAAAGGCCATTTGCATACAGCGAGCATCGTGCAGCCTGGGCATATGGTTGGGAGGGAAAGGCATGTCAAGCTGACCCAAATTTGACAGGAATTCTTGCTGTCCCCCTGTGTTGGTCTTCCAAAAAGGTTGCTAGGTAGTTGCATCTGTCAACACCTCCTGGACCATGAAAGCCAATCTGACATATTGGATATGTCCCAAATGGCACCCTATTCCCTCTTGTAATGCACTACATTTGACCAGAGCCCTCGTCAAACGTAGTGCACTATAAAGGTAATCGGGTGCTATTTGGGATGCATATTGTCTGGTAACTTGAACACTCCTGACACCTGTATTTTATGAACCTGTGGGGGCTGTCCAGCCAGTGGTTGCATCCCTATCACCTGTATAGTGCAATACTTTTGACCAGGGCCCCTAGGACTGTGGACGAAAGTAGTGCACTATATAAGGAATAGGGTGCTATTTGGGACGTAGACTGTCAACAGAGCAAGTGCTGTCCATGGGCTCTTGTAACAAGGTCTCCCTCGACGGTTACGAAAAACTCCTTCCTAGTTATTATTCACCTCAATGTGATACTTTTTAGCATGTCTGACAAAAAGGTGGTACTTTAGGAAGACTTAAAAAAAGAATGTGGAATGACAAAAGAATAAGTACATGCATGCCCATTTTTTTTCAATGTACACTGGAATGGGGAATCAATATTGCATACAGAAAGTCAAATTTTTGTTCAGTACTTTCCTTTGCAGGTTTGCGCACATGTAAGAGGGTGTTTGATTTGTCATTAGAGATTGAGACCACTAGTGTTTTTGCTAATCATTGATTGTAGTCCCCAAACCCTTGTGAAAATGTTTAATGCCCTAATGTTATGTAACAGCAATGTAACATGAATAAAAATGACATTTTGTAAACCATAATTTGTGAGCAGACAGTGTTTATGAACCAGTTATGTTGTGGTTTTATTTGGTCCCCAAGTGTTTTTTTGTTGTCTGGTGTTTTTAGTAATCAGCTCCACGTGATTTATATTTTGGAAATCTGTTCCAAAGTATTCTCACGCATAATAGAGATGCGGGACCATATACAAATATAAGCAAGGTTTGAAATGATTGTTTTAGTCAAATATTAAATCTGTTTGGGGTTCTTTCGGTCAATTTATAATTCTGTTCTGGCCCACCTACCATCCGCTCAAGAAAAAATCAGTTTGCGGCTGAATCTAGTTGATCCCTGCTTTACAGCATGTTTTACTTGGTGGTGCATTGCCAATTATGCTGCACTAAACCTATTCACTTTCATTTTGTCTTGGAGCTGTCCATGGACAACAAACTGCCCCGTCCCAAATGACACTCTTCCCTATAGCGGGGGGGCGGGGCGGGGGGGGGGGGGGGGGCAGGACCAAGTTTGGGAAACCTGCCCTATAGTGCACTACTTTTGATCAGGGCCCTAGTCAATAGTAGTGTGCTGAATAGGGTGCCATTTGGGACACAAATAATACAGTCTGTGTCTATGGTAAAACTATGTGTCTGCATGAGGTTCATACAGCCTATCCTCATGGGAATACCATGTCCCAGTAGCCTCATAAAGCCCAGACATATTAATAGACTTGGACTTCAGAATGAAAATAGCAGGCTTTTAAGCCCAGCTCACATCACTTCAAGAATAGTGTTCACCACTAATGTACCTCATACTGTACTTCATTTGTCACAATGATTGTTACATAATGTCCATTTGTGCAGGAATAGATGTAAAACAAATGGAATATGCTTGCTACTGTATAATATAGGTTATTTAATTGTCAGTAAATGGCAAAAATAAAAAGTAATATTTGACTGTAAATTTCACATTATGGGTCTATACACACATTACTACCCCAGTCAAATATTGGTTCGGATTTTAACGCAAATGTTAGAAGTTAAAATGGGATGACAAAGCATAAAAAATAGATCAGCCCAGATGTTGCTCGGTTTGAAATCCCTCTTCTGCTGCTAAAGCTTTCTTATCCTTATGAAGAGTGCTGCAGTGACTTAAGCTACAATTTTCTGCAAGATCTTCGGAACTCAGATCGACAGATGAACAGAACAATTTCTTATTTTCGTAAGTAAAAGCAGTCTATGATAGCGGGTAGATTCAATGCAAAGGAAATATTCGAGTACCGCGTCCTGTTACTGTCACTGAGCTATAAAAAGAACTCGAGTGAACTATAGACAAGTTTACGCGCTGTATCACGGGTGGCGCCATAACTCTACACAAATGCATTTCATTTCCGCCGGAAGTTGTTTGTACAACGTCTGCCGGTGTAAACACAGCGATGTCGACGCTAGCTTGGGAACACGGTTCTACTACTTTGACTGGAGATGGCGTTACTCTCCTCCACCCGAATTCAGTGCAGAACTGGGAGGATAACATGACGACGTGGCCCAACATAACATACAGCAAGATTTGCTCCTACTTCGTGCAATCCATGGCAATAGATGGAAAAGCAATGGACAATCTGAAAGCCTCCGAGGCATATCAATATCTGCACAGCAACAAAGTCGGTTGTGTCATTTCATACAAACATGATCGTTTTGTTTATCTGAAAGCAAATGTAGAGCCTAGCCAGTGTTTGAACAATGCATGGCATAATGCTTGGGTGCTGGTAACTGAAGCTGGAGAAGTCAAAACTGCGGGATGTACGTGTGTTGCTGGACCAGGGAGATCTTGTTCCCACTCAGCTGCGATCCTGTGGAAGGTAATTATTTGACCATTGTAGCCTAGGCCTATGTCTTCTTTTCAAAACGCTATAAATCCATACATTTGTTATTTAAAAAAAAAACTATTTTGTGTTTTAATTTTCGTGTTTGCATTTATGAGGAAAAAACAATGTTAGGCCTACGACAGTTCTCCATTATGGACGTGAGCGCTCTGAAAGCGGCACTAAAGACTTTCAGACTTTCACAGACACCTCAAAACAGAAAGAACAAAGCCTTTAAAGCGAATTTTGTTTTGTATTAATTGTATCTTAATTTAAATAAATGTTTCATTAACCAAATTCCTGGATTTAATAAATAAAAAATAAATATAGCAGACAGACAATAGATAATGACAACATAAGGCTCCGGCCTGAACTGGAGCTTATGCATGAACCGAACACTTGTTTATGAATAAACAATTAAAATGTCTCATTGCAATATTTTACATATTCATAATCATTACTTTTGCTGGTTCTTTGAGACAGCTTTTAGGTGCCGTTTAGATAAGCGCGCTCATAAT